TTTTTTTATGAGACTGTTTAAAACATTTACTTACCCCCAGAGATTAGGCGAAGAGGCTTTTTAATCCCATTGCGTACAGTTACCTTACTGGTTTTAATTTTGTTGCCAGGTACGTGCAGCAGCATTTCATCTGAATTGACTGTACGTGTGTTAATGTTGCTGAGTTAATGATGGTGGTGTTGATGATGTCGGTGGTGAAAGTGTTGCTGATAAGAGGTTGGTGTTGTTGATGCTGCTGATGATGCTGATGATAATCTCTGCTGTAATAACTGATGCAGCAGCCAACGGCTGCTTTGGATGATATATCTTTTGGTGGTCGTGTAATGGTCAGCAGTTGAGCTCCTCCAAACCGGATTTAAAGTAAAGCGGAACTGCGCGCACGGTAGTTGTTGCCAGAAATGCACCGGTACTGCCTACATTTCACAGTGGTATCCGAAATTGTTGACTTGTTGTTGTTCTTGCACTGATTTTTATTGCCACTACCTTCTTCTTCTTCTTTTTCTTTTTCGGCATTTTTGGGATGTTTTGGTAGAACATTGCAGCATTTTTGATGTTCATTATGGAGAATCTTTCTAGAAAAAGAAGAGAATTTCAAGGCAGCAGTGCAAGTCGATGCATTTCACCACTGTTGAAAGTCTTTGTACCAATCTTGACTGGTTTGGGTGTTGTTAATCCTGTTGTCTTTTGTTGTTTGATGTTTTCCACCCCTTCTGAACCGTTTTCTCTAATCCCTCTTTCCACACTAATTGCAGCATCTCGAAGTGTCTGTTGCACCGAAGCTCAGTCTGCTGCTGCTGCTGATGTTGTTTTACACCATCTTCTGAGCATAATCTGTCTCAAGTTTACGTGAACTTAGATTGAGGCTGATGTGCGTGCGTGCCATTTCTTCTTCTTCTTTGTGCTGGATTCGCACTGATGTTGCTGCTGATGTGCTGTTCTTAGCTCACTTTTTGTTAGCTCATTTTCTGTCTTTTAAGTCGCAGCAGAGCACGTCAGAAGACGACGTTAGACATGAGGCGGCGGCTGCTGCAGTTTTACAACTGCTGGCAGACAGTTTTATGGTCCAGTTTTTTTGGTGTCGAGTTGATGATATTGACCAAAAACGACAGCAAACAAGATGGCGACAATGACAGTGACACTGTGTTATAATAAACAGGGGCGCGCGCCAGTGTGTGTCTCTTGAAGGTCTCATGAGCAAATGGCTGATAACAAAGGAAGAGGGTAAGAGAAGGGTAGGAGATGAGTTTGGTAGGCTAAAAATATCTGTTACAAGGTGACCTTGGGTACTTACAAACCGATGATTTGATGTTCCTCCGTCGATCAATTCGAAAAAGGACTTCGATTTGGCGGAAAAACTGCGACTAACGAAAAAAAAAATCGCCGCCCGCTCGTAGAGAGCGTTACACAACAGGCCGCAGCTGATTTGTTTTGATTTGATTTTTTCTCCTTCTTTTCACTTCAAGAAAACTTCTTTTTGTTCTTGAAAGAAAGATGATCATCCGAAGATGGCCACGGTGGTGGTGGTCACCACCGCTAGTTGCTTGCTATCGTCATCTGTTCAGGTGCACTTCCTGCTCCTGCTCCTCCTCGTCTTCTTCAAAGGTGATCACCAAGTCGTGCTACTTTGCCGGCGCCAGCAGCAGCAGCAGCAGCCAAAATAGAACCTTCCACAACTCAGGAAAAACTTCGGAAAAGTCCACTACCTCCTCACCCTCGCCCTCACCATCACCTCGATCACCCCTGCTCCGCGAACTCCTGCAGCGAATTCAGTGGAGCGGCCCGCTGACGGTGGCCGAGTACATGAAGACGGCGCTCACCCATCCACGGCATGGCTTCTACACCGCCAGCGCCGAGGTCTTCGGCAGCCGCGGCCACTTCACCACCTCACCGGAGGTGTCCGCCCTCTTCGGCGAGATGGTCGCCGTGTGGGTGCTCTACGAGTGGCAGCGGCGAGCGGCAAATAGAAAATCGCCCAGGCCGCTTCGAGTCGTCGAACTCGGTCCAGGTCGAGGCTTCCTCACCGCCGACGTCGCCCGCGTCCTGGCGCAGTTCGCGGCAAAGGAGCAAAGGACGAAACCGCTCTCCTCTGTTTCCTTTCACCTGGTGGAGATCAGCGACCGCCTGCGGGCGATCCAGGAACGGACGATCTGCGGCGAGAAGGAGGCCTCCTCGAAGACGAGGACCGCTCATGGCCAGCCGATCAGCTGGCACCGCTCGCTGGAGGAGCTGCTCTCCGTCTTTGCTGAAGAACAAGAACAAGAACAAAAAGTGCCCAAGGAGGACAAAGTAGAACAGCAGCCGAAGCAGAAGCCCTTCACCGTCTTCCTCGCCAACGAGTACTTTGACGCCTTTCCGGTGCACAAGTTTGTCCGAAGTGGCAGCAGCAGCAGTGGTGAACAGCAGCAGCAGTCAGCCTGGCGTGAGGTCCTGGTCGACATGACGCCCACCGGGGACGCCCTGCGGCTGATCCAGGCCCGCCACGCGACGCCCGCTTCGCAGTACTTTACCTCCGCCTCAAACGAAGCTGCCATCATTTCGAAGATCACCGGCGACCACTACGAGGTCTGTCCGGGGGCGCTGCTGCAGACGGCGGCCATCGTCGACCAGCTAACCAGTCAGTCTGATGGTGGTCCTGGTGGCGCTCTTCTGATCATCGACTACGGCTTCGACGCTGAAGATAATCAAAAGCCGCCAAACCGCGACACCTTCCGCGCCTTTCGCGCCCACGCCCTCGCCGATCCGCTCGCCGAGCCGGGCGCCGCCGATCTGACGGCGGACGTCGACTTTGCCGCCATCCGGGCCCAATTGAAGGCGAAGTCGAAGAAGGACGTCCAGGTCTTTGGCACCGTCACCCAGGAGCACTTTCTCCGCCAGCTAGGCATTGGCCTTCGACTGCAGATGCTGCTGGCTCAAAACTCCTCAGAACACTTGAAGCCTGAAGCGAGACAGCAGCTAGTCGCCTCGGTGCGGATGCTCCTCGAGGAGATGGGCCGTCGCTTTCGGGTGATGGCCGTCTTTGCTGGAGGAGGAGGAAGTGACCAGCATGGAACGCCGGTGGGCTTTGAGCAGGAGAAGGAAAAGGAGGAGGAGAAGAAAAAGGTCTAAGAAGAGGTCTTTAGATTTCGAAGTTCCCTTTTCCAAGTCCTGCAAATATCAAATCAAAACAGTGTAAATAAAGCTTGCGGATTTTCAAAGAAGGCGGAGCTTGTGTGGTAGAAAGAGGTCGCCGGTGCGACCGCCTCCGCCAGCGCCAACGTTAGCTGACGTGTGCGTGTTTCTGTTTACATTTTCGGTGGCAGCTTTTGCAGAGGGAAAATAGAAACGAGAACTTCTAACTGGAAACGATTCGAAACCCAAAAAAAGTTGACCTTTCCTAACCTGATTATCATCTAAATTATCAATGGCCTGCCACGTCGCCCTGCGTCGCCTGATGTCCGAGTACAAGCAGCTGACGATCAGCCCGCCGGAGGGCATCGTCGCCGGCCCGCCCGACGAGGAGAACTTCTTTCTCTGGGAGGTAAGTCGAAACTCGGTTTCTAAATCCCAAAACTAACCTCTTAATCTCTCCTTTCCCAGGTCGCCCTCGCCGGGCCCGAGGAGTCCGCCTACGAGGGCGGCGTCTTCAGCGCCACCCTTTCCTTTCCGCCCGATTACCCGCTCCTGCCGCCGGTGCTTCGCTTCACCAGCGAGATGTTCCACCCGAACATCTACCCCGACGGAACGGTCTGCGTCAGCCTGCTGCACCCGCCNGGTTTCTAAATCCCAAAACTAACCTCTTAATCTCTCCTTTCCCAGGTCGCCCTCGCCGGGCCCGAGGAGTCCGCCTACGAGGGCGGCGTCTTCAGCGCCACCCTCTCCTTTCCGCCCGATTACCCGCTCCTGCCGCCGGTGCTTCGCTTCACCAGCGAGATGTTCCACCCGAACATCTACCCCGACGGAACGGTCTGCGTCAGCCTGCTGCACCCGCCCGACGAGGACGTCTTCGGCTACGAGAAGCTAGCGGACCGGTGGTCGCCGACGAGGACCGTCGAGAAGATCCTCCTCTCCGTCCTTCTCCTTCTGGCCGAGCCAAACGCCGAGTCGCCGGCCAACGTTGACGCGGCGAAGATGTGGCGCGAGGACCGGGCGCAGTACAACGCTCTGGTCGCGGAGACGGTTCGAAAATCGCTCGGTCTGTGATCCTTTCCCTTCCCCTTCTCTATCTCTGATCTCAAGCTCAAAATCTCCAAGACCGCTACGGTGAAAAGATCTTTATTATGTTGTTGTTGTTCTTGATGATGTGATGTGATGGCAGTGAAAGTGAAAGTTGTGCTGATGATGAAATGTAAAGATGTTTGATAAAAAATAATTTGAAGATTCATGAGAGGTATTTCGGAAAAGTGGGATTTTCTACAGAAGATGATGATGATGAAAACTTTACAAGCTCGAAGCCGAAGTGGCCTCCCCCTCCCCATCGGCGCTAAAGTTCTTCAGCTCCTGCTCCAGCAGCGGGCGAATGCTTTCGGTGAGCATCATGCGGCCCTTCTTGTTGAGGATGCTCTGGTAGGACTGGTTCAGGCCTCCGACCACCGGGTCACCGGCCGGCAGGCCGTCCACCTTGAAGGAGGCGAAGTGAAAGGCATCGACGGTGAAGTCGGAAATACCACT